CCCCAAAACCCCAAAACCCCAAAACCCCAAAACCCCAAAACCCCAAAACCCCAACAGACATTATTTGTGTTGAAACAAAGCATGATAATATTAGTTTCAATAATCTCCAAATGCCCATATGTTTTTTCCTTTGTTGTCTTTGTCTATAAAAGATATTACCAAGTTTTAGCATTTTCTTACCTATAGCCTTTTGTATAGAAGTGGCTGCTTCAGCTAGAAGACTGACAAAAGCAAGGAAACCAATGATCCACATAACAGCAGAGAGCTTGCCTCTTCTACCGATGTAGTTTCCAACAGCCTCACTACCGAAAACAGTTCCAATAATAGCGAAGAATCCAAGCCAAAAACCGAATTCGAAATGCATGTATCCCATTACTGAGAAAAGGATGGAACCTGAGAGAGTCGCCCACATTCCTATGTACTGAGAAGTCACTCCTGCCACTGAAGGCATCACTCCAAACTTAATATAAAACGGAGTCAATAGAACTTCTGTACTTAGCCCAGCAGCTCCGGTAACAAATCCTCCGACGAAAGCTAGTATTGCAAAGGCAGCCATATGAGCTTCATCCCATTCAATATCTCCTCTGACAAATTTGTATCCTGCTTGTTTTCTAGCTGTGTGGTTCTTCTTCAAGAGGAAAAGACAGATACATGAGAAGATCAAGAGGATAAGAACTTCTAATCCGAATAGTACGAAATCAACAGCATTTCATCTTTCCACTCCAATAATAGATTTAAGAGATTTTGATCCTCTAAATACGGTAATCAAGGTAATGGTCAACACTGGGAAAGCTACTAGTAACCCTTTATCGATTGTAATATGATTTTGCTCGCCATAAAAGATGCCCTCAAGAGTTGGGTTGATTTCATCATCAGTATAGTCGGCTTTCTCTGCACCGAGTGCTTCCATAAGGTCTAGAGGAGGGATGTCTTCATCATCAAAATCTACAACACCTTCTTTCCTCTCTTCTTTTCTGTCAACTCTAATTTCTTCCATGTGGCTCATCTTCAGTGCAATGGAGTCCCTATCAGAAGAAGCGATGCTAGCATTGATCCCAGTATGATTTTCTTTATTGGTCTCCAGTAACGACGCCTTTGCAGTTGCTGAAAGAGATCTTCTTGCATCTCTGACTGCTTCTTCTATAAAAAAGTAGTTATAAAATTTGGTTAATATCCTTACTCCTAGATTCTTTGACTCTCCTAGCTCTTTCTTGATAGAGTTCTCCTTGTCTAAGAAAGAGATGATCCTCTTTGTTCATCATTGAGATACCCTTCATGATACTTTGGAATGTGATGAAGAGGAGTAAGAGAAACAGAAAGATTGACATAACTAAATCTGGGAGCCATTCATTAACCTGTGCTCCAATGAAAGTTCCCATTCCTATCAGTGGTAACTGGCATTGTACGATTCAATAATCTACAAGAGTCGCATTCTTCAAAGGATGCTTCTTTGTATAATTAACGAGGAAGCCAGAAAACATTGCCCAAAAGATAGTCATATTGGCTACTGCAACGGACTGGAGCATAGTCAATCTAAGTAAAACATGGCAGGAAGTGACTATAATTGCACCACCTCCAATACCAACTGCGTTACCTAGACCAATGGTAAGGAGGACGATTATTGCAGTGGCAAACTCTGAACCAAGTATAGGAAAGACACCCTTGTGTTCACAATATCCTCCTCTACAGGAGGTGTAAGGAGGATTACATTGCACATCTGAGTCACATTCATCTGCATCAGGGAATCTTCTAGCTGATAGAGATAGGACTAGCATGCTCAAGATAACCAGCAAGTACAAATTCTTTGGATTTATCACTCTCATCTTCATTATTCCGATTACCCTTTTATATTTTTAATCTATACGGTATTTAACACCTGGGGTTTTGGGGTTTTGGGGTTTTGGGGTTTTGGGGTTTTGGGG